CAGTGTAAAGAGGACTAAAGTTTAAGCATCCTTTCAGCAAGTTTCCCTGGGTTTGTCACAGTCATTTTATTGAAATAAGAATAAATTTTTGAAAATATTAATGGAAGTTGGTCTTTACATATGGCCAAGTGTTTATGATCTTATGTGAATTAATAAAACATCACGGGGTTTACAAGGCAAAGGAGAGAACTATATTCTACATAAGAGGAAGTATGTTCCTGGTTGTTTAGGTGTATGATTTTGGTGAACTAGAAAGTAGTGAGACTTAGCCAAGCTGCCTACCCTCATTCTGTATTCAGGGCCTCATTTCTTTCAGAGGATTTTTCATATCTTTCCATGTAGTCCAGGCATAGATACTACTGAAGGAAAAGCAAACAAACAAAACAAGCAAGCGTGTTTTTCTTGTTAATTTTGACTCTTTGATTGGCCACATAAATAAATTTAATATCTTCCCTCCCTTCAGCTCTCAGACAGGTGTTACTAAATTACTGGTTTTAGTTAACCAAAGAATTTTTGTTGACCTACTCAAGCCCCAAGAATTTTTGTTATGTTTGAACATTTTGGTTGCAGCCCTCTTTCAAATGTATTACATTTGCATTCAAACATGAATTCTGAACAGATTTAATGTTTCAGCAATAACTCAGAATTATAATTATGAACATAATGACATTATATTAGAATAGTGATCACACTAAGGCTTACTGATGTACTGAAGGCTTAAATCCCCCCACCGTGTTTCACTGAAGTCACCATTTATATTGAATTTTTGTCAGTTTTGTAAAGTTTCTTTGGTCACATTTTTAATAATCAGGGGGTCAGATGTCGCTTCCTGTTTATGTTAATGTAGTGGTCTTTGTCATGCCTTTCTATTCTTTTTTTATTTTTTGATCTTTTTATTTATTTATTTATTTATTTATTTTAAATCATTACCCAAGGATATCTTTCCATTTATCTTCAGATAAAGTGTGAGGGAGAGAGAGAGGGAGAGAGAAAAACATCGATGTGAGCGAGACACATGGATTGATTGCCTCCCACACGATCCTGATCAGGGCCAGGGTACTGCAACTGAGGTACGTGCCCTTGACCAGAACTGTACCCACAACTCTTTGTTCCATGGGCCAATGCTCTAACCACTGAGAAACTGGCCAGGGCTATTTTTATATCTTTTTAATGTTTTATTTCTAATCTTTGTATTTAGAAAAGAGATAATCACCCTTGTGAAATTGTATTAGGAGAATTATATTTGTAGAGTTAGTAGTAAATAGGCCCTCCTATAATTAAAGTGCATGAGTTCCACAATAGGCAGATTTATTATTATTATTCATTATTCTAATTTGTAATATAAAAAATATTTGCAAAGGGAAATTTAACTCTCAATAGTAACCTGAAGAAGTTTACATTGTTTCACACATAGTCTTGGTAGTATTCATTTTGCTACTCCAATGACTCTTCATCTTTGTTTTCTGTGATGGTCTACGTAGGTAGCATGTCTGATAGCTGAAATCCAGATTGAGTAATAATTATGCAACAGCCAATTTAGATTAGTTTGGTAATCAAAATGATAAGTATTGGAGATGATAAACAATAAGGCTATAAAAGAAAGAATAGCTGGTTGTTTTTATCCGTCTATGCATATGAGAAGAGAATAATTCGGCTCCATGCAACTCACTAAAATCAGTGCCAACAAGGCAATCTTCATTATCTTTAGGCTGATGGTTAGAGCTAATTACAACTTCAAAATTCCATCAATGCTGGAAAACTAGCCACTAAGAATAAAATAACTTAAAATATGCTTAAATACTACTACCTTGTTGCTGAAATTTTTAACCAATTCTTCCAATGCTTCTATTAGAATTTTAGTTTACAGACTTTCCTGTATTTAAAATGCCTCTGGACTTCCGGTCAAGATGGCAGCATAGGTAGACATGGTATCACGTCCTCCCACAACCACATCAAAGTTACAACTAAACTACAGAACAACCATCATTCAAAACCGCCTGAAATCAAGCTGAATGGAAGTCGTACAACTACGGAATTAAAGCAGCAGCCACATCCAGACTGGTAGGAGGGGCGGAGACCTGCTGGTTCCACACCCACATGTGGCGAATAAAAATCAGGAGGATACGTCAGCTAGGAAAGTCCTTCCTGAGGACTGAGGGGGTCCCCGTCCCACACCAGGTGCCCCGCTCAGGGTTCCAGTGCCAGGAAGAGAATCCCCATAACTTCTGGCTGGAAAAACCAGCGGGAACTGAGGCTCAGGGAGGCTGAAGCGGCTGGAGCCCCAGGCAGCTCCCTAAAGGGCCCGCGCACGGACTTATCGGACTCTCTCCCTCTAAGCTCGGAGGGGAGGCAGCTCGAGGGGCGCCAGAGACACACAGGGAAGAACTGAGCTGTTTGACACTGGAGCGAGGGCTGGAGAGGGGCCTTTCTCCGGGACAAACGTGCTGTCAGAGGCCTTTGTTCCTTTGGTGAGACCTTCCCTGGGGCAGCAGACAGCCACCGTATCTGGGACTCCAGCAACCTGGCTCACACTGGTAGCCCCGCCCTGCTGACTCCCTGAGGCCCCGCCCCGCCCTGCCCCACCCAACTTTCAGGCCCACCCAAGCTGTTGCCAGTTGCTTAACCATAGGATTGGCCTGTCTTGGATCCTGCTTCTGGTTTTTCCTAAATTCTTTCAAATGAGCAGCATCTGGTCTCAGCTAGCCCCATGCTGCTTGTTAAGTAATACACAGAAACAAACACAGGGAGGCAGCCAAAATAAGGAGATGAAGAAACAGGTCTCAAATGAAAGAACAGAACAAACCCCCAAGATAATAACTAAGCGAAATGGAGATGAGCAACCTAACAGCGCTGAGTTCAAAATACTGCTTATAAGGATGCTCAATGAACTCAGTGAACTTAGGGAGGGCCTCAAGAGCATAAAAAAGGACCAGTCAGAAATGATGGATGCACAGTCAGAATTGAAGGAGGCATTAACTGAAATAAAGAACAATTTACACAGATTCAATAGTAGAGTATGTAAATCCAAGAAGCAAACCATCAATTTGGAATATAAGGAAGCAAAAAATGCCCAATCAGAACAGCAAAAAGAAAAAAGAATCCAAAAAAATGAGGATAGTGTAAGGAGCCTCTGAGACAACTTCCAGTGCGCCAACATTTGCATCTTGGGGGTGCCAGAAGGAGAAGAGTGAGAACAAGAAATCGAAAACCTGTTTGAAACAATAATGGCAGAAAACTTTCCTAACTTGGTGAAGGACACAGACATACAAGTCCAGGAAGCACAGAGAGTCCCAAACAAGATGAACCCCAAGAGGCCCACACCAAGACATGTCATCATCAAAATGCAAAAGGTTCAAGACAGAGAGAGAATCTTAAAAGCAGCAAGAGAAAGGCAGCTAGTTACTTACAAGGGAGTTCCCATGAGGCTGTCAGTTTATTTCTCAAAAGAAACTTTGCAGGCCAGAAGGGAGTGGCAAGAAATATTCAGAGTGATGAAAAGCAAGAACCTACAACCGCCCTGGCCGGTTTGGCTCAGCGGTTAGAGCGTCGGCCTGCGGTCCTGAGAGACCCGGGTTCGGTTCCCGCTAAGGGCACGTACCTCGGTTGCAGTTTGTCCCCGGCCCTGGTCGGTTGTGCGGGTGGCAGCCACTCGATGTGTTCCTTTCACATCGATGTTTCTCTCTCTCTGTTCCTCTCTCTCCCTCCCACTCTACCTGAACAAAAAAATGGAAAAATGTCCTCGGGTGAGGATAAAAAAAAAAAGAACCTACAACCAAGATTACTCTATCTTGCAAAGCTGTCATTTAGAATTGATGGACATATAAAGAGTTTCCCAGACAAGAAAAAGTTAAAGAAGTTCATCACCACCAAAACGTTATTATATGAAATGATGAAGGGTCTTTTTGAAGAAAAAGATAAAATATATGAACAAACAAAATGGCAATGAATACATATCTATCAACAATGGAATCTACAAACAAAATGAACAGGTAGAACAGAAACTTTCTCATAGATACAGAGAACATTTCGTTGGTTGCCAGATGGGAGGGGGGTTGGGGGAATGGGTGAAAAAGGTGAAGGATTAAGAAGTACAAATTCATTGCTAGACTGACAAACCTCAAAGGGAAAGGGGTTTGGGAGTGGGAAGAAATAAACCAAAGAACTTATATGCATAACCAATGGACACAGACAATAGTGTGGGAAAAGGTGGGAGGGGGGCGGTAGGGGGGAGGAGGGGGTCAATGGGGGGAAAATGTGGAACATCTGTAATACATTCTACGTTCAACAATAAAGATTAAAAAAATAAATAAATAAAATAAAATGCCTCTGTCCATTATCTCGGGTTCCAGATTTGAATGATTTCACCACATTTATAGTTTTGTAATGTAACTTCACTTAAAAGATAAGGTTTAACTTGGGCCTCTGTATCCTTAATTAACTTTGTATTTCTCATGATTCTGGAGCAATAATTCTTAAACTTTATTGTGCCCTAGAATTCCCTACGGAACTTGTTATAAATGTAGATTTATTGGAATCTCTCCCCAGAGATTCTGATTCCTTTGGCCAGGTAGTATGCAGAAGTCTGCATTTTAAAGGTGCACCCCTGAGAGGCTGATTCAGGTGGATTCAGGTCTCCCTTTAAGGAGCTGGAGGCTATTGATAAGTAGACATGGTAATCAATGGGAGATAATACATCCTGTTTAGTACATTGCCCTCTGTTCCACTATCAAATCCATATTTATTGTTTCTAAAGTGTCCAGAAAACATCATTGATATTTTATTCCAGAGGAGTTACAAGCATTTAAAATAATATTTAACATAATAAAGCCAATATTTGAAGGGGGCGGACTAACTAAATTTTATAATTACATATTCTATAGGAAATCTATATGTTTGTTGCCTGATTTTCTACTTTGAGTAAATGAATTATTTTTTATAAGCCCAATCACACCCTTTTATTCTTGCATGTGTACTTAAAACCTTTCTCCGCTTAACTTTAGAGCAACCATCGAAACCTGAAATTGTTAGCAAAGCACCATTTCTTGAAACAGAGAAGCTAACAAAGGTAAGAACTTGTTTTTGATTAGTTGCCTTAATACAGCCTAGTCCTAAATGCCCTCTCCTGGCCTCAGGCGCCAGGACAAGTGAGATAAAGTTGCCTCTTGTGTAGTCGACTGTGTGGCAGATGCCAGGCAGGAAGCCAGCATAAGGCGAGCGGAGTCACAAAGGAAGGCGATGACATTTCCGAAGGAAGAGAGGGGGGACGAGAGTTAAAAGAGGCATGTTTTTCTTATTTGAATGAACTGAATACTTAATGGAGTCATGAAAGATGAGTGGATTTTCCCCAGATGTGAAAGAGAATGTTTTGGGGGAAACATCAAGTTATCTGCTTTGCTGAATCTTAGGGAAGAGAGCAAAGTTGGAGGTACATCTGGAGAGGTAAGGAGAGGCTGGGTCATGATAGGCCTTCTATGTTACGTAGGGAATTTGGACTTTACTCTTTTGACAAATTAAGCTTCTGGCAAGTTAAAGTATAAGTGTGAGAAGATCAGATTTGAAAGATCACATGAGCAAAGAGTCAATGGAGGCTGTCCTGAAGGAATGTCAGTTGACTAATGACCCCATTGCATTAGCTAAGTTACCTCAATTATCCTTTGTCTGTGGGGGAAACCAAGTCTGGAATTCTTTGAATCAGATTAAAGTTTCCCACATAATACTATTTTATAAACATTAAGTGTTAAAATTAAAACACACCTGAAGAAAAGTGTTGGGAGTTACAGATCGTAGTGAGTACACGTAACGTAGTCGGGAACGTATGTGGTATGAAGCTGGAGACGTAGCTGCACTGTAATGATTCCTGCACATGCAAATCCACGAACCATGGCAATAGTCAGTGTTAATGTCATTATGTTATTTAATGGTACACGGTAAAGATAAATAATGTCAAGATAAAGTTGGTAATGCTTTCCCACGAAGGTGGTTTTATTAATAGTTTCTATGGCATATTTTAAAATGGGAAATACCATAATTTTAAGTGTGAAACATTGTGTGTGTTTTTTACAAGAGAGCATTTATTCAGTCCTTAGTCAGTGCTTAGAAAAATGAATGGGTCAGGAAACCTTTGAGATAAGTCTAAAATCCTCTGAGGATTCTGAGCTTCCAAATTGACTTCTGACAAAATCCAAGGTAGTAACATTTCCCCTTTTATTTTGCAGTTAGGTGACTGCATTTCAAAAGACAGTTACCCAGATGGCAACATCACATGGTACAGGAGTGGAAAAGTGCTGCAACCCCTTGAAGGAGGTGGGTATGAAGTGGGCACTACCTTCCAATGACCTGCTTGGACTTCTCTTATCTAGGGATCCCTTAAGCTATTCTGCATCTACATGGATTGCCCTCCTTTGATCTGTGACCCGGTGCTTTGGTGCTTTGTTACTTTAAGTAGCCATTAAGTTATTTAGTTAGTTAGTTAGTTAGTTAGTTAGTTAGTTAATCCTCACCCAAGGACATTTTCCCATGTTTTGTTCAGATAGAGTGGGAGGAAGAGAGAGAGAGAGAGAGAGAGAGAGAGAGAGAGAGAGAGGGGGAGAGAGAGAGAGAGAAACATCGATGTGAAAGGGACACATCGAGTGGCTGCCTCCTCTAGGACCCAACCAGAGCCGGGGACAAACTGCAACCGACCGATGCTCTAATCGCTGAGCCAAACCAGCCAGGGCATTTAAGTGATTTTTTTAACACCTTCTTAGCCCTTGTGCAGAATCATCTAGAGCAGAGAAAATTATGTCTGTATGTGGCATGTTTTAGAAGTTAATTAAAGGGAGTGGGAAATCAGACTCCAGGGCTCCATTTCTGCCTCTGCCTCCAATTCGTGTTTTTGAAAAGCCATCCTACCAATCTACCTGTTAAATACATTGAGAAGGACAAACCACTCCTCAAAGGTTTGTGACATCTAGTTAAGATTTGTGATTTTTGTGTGTGTGATGAAAGATCCTATCATTAGTGTTCTATGTTTTCCTCAGCGGTGGTCATAAATTTTATAAAGGATATAGACCCAGTAACTCAACTCTATACCATGACCTCGTCCCTGGAGTACAAGACAACCAAGGCGGACATACAAATGCCATTTGCCTGCTCTGTGACATATTATGGGCCAGCAGGCCAGAAAACAGTTCATTCTGAACAAGCCGTCTTTGATATCTACTGTAAGTAACTCAACATATAATTATGCAATTTTAATGCATTAGGAAAAAAACATTCAAATGCTTATCAATCTTTTAAGTCCCAATCCTAGTGATCTCTGGGTTCTACTTCCAACCCCTTACCCCTATTCCATAGCACTCTAAAAATTACTTTCTTATTGAAAGACCTAAAGAATAAAGGCTTATATGTCTTGTGGTATCTTTCACTTTCTATTTTGTTATTTATGAGCATTGTTTTCTGTGCTCTATTAGATGCTAAGTTCCTTAAATACAAGATCTCTATTAGTCTTGTCCCTTCTGGTGGTCTTCAGCCCTGGCACACAGCCATGCACTGTGTAGGAGTTCAAAATGCCATCTGATGGTTTTCTGAATGAGTGACTGATTGGTCTTCTAGATAAGGGACTTCCCTTTCAATAAAAATATTTGTTTTATTAATGAACTCAATTGCATAAGTTAAATAGGATGTTATATTCCAAGGTGTTTAAGTTTATTTCATAGATTTGGAAAATAGTAGACTACAAAGGAAACTTCTTGATCATGTGGCCTAACTCAATTATTTTACTTAGTAGTTAAGTGAGGCCCTGAACCTTGTTCTAAATTAGCTGTAGAGACTGGGTTCGAACTCTTCTCTCCAATGCTGTGCTCTTGCCTGTAAGACAGGCCAAGATAATTTAATGACGAGGAGCAAACATGTCAGTGTTCAGTGCCAATTACTGTGTGTTTCTTGAAGAATAGTTTAAATACTCTAGGTCTCACCTTTCTTATCTCAAATTGGGAAAAATATAACACTTAACTCAGTGTCATTGTGGAGATTAAGTGAAATCACAAATCTAAAATAGCATACTTACTGCACATTAAATGTTCATTATTAAGTACTATTGTCATTATTACTAAATGATTATTATTCCCACATAAAGATATAGATAGTAATATCTTTTTTAAAATAGGCAAGAAAAAATTTTCTCATTTTTTAAAAATGCATCAAAAATTCTTGTAGTACTGCCAGATATTGTAGACTAACCTAGCACTTCTACATCTGTTCTGGAGGAAGGCATGCATTCCCTTTGAGCCTTCAGAGAGTTTTTACCCATCTGCATTTCCATTTTGGTTCCCTAAAGTATGGAACCTTATATAAGAACAAAACTGAAATTCCACTTGCCCTAACAATAAAGGGTCATTTTGCCTCTAACTTGGAAAATGTAAATCAGCTTGATTCAAAAGCAATGATTGAGAAGATGTCCTCATGTACAGCTAAAATCAAACTATTCTTTCTGTAAGTGAAGGAAGAATTCTGTTTGTTCAAAAATATTTAGTTAGAACTAAGCTCTCTTGGTTTAAGTGCAGGAGTACAAGATAGGAAAGAACATCAAAAGAGTAATAAAGAATGGGACGTTGGCTCAAGAAAGAGCAGAAATGCAAGGGAGTGTCAGGCATGGGGAGTTGGTCAGCAGAGACGTCTTGGTCTTACTGAAGGAAATGGTTTCACTGTAACTGGCTGTGTGGGACATATTTGGCATGGTTTTGGGGAAGGTACCATTTATGCACAGCTGGGCTTCATGGTGAAAACACAAAGGTGTTTGAGATACAGTCCTGACATTTAAGGAATTGACTACTTCACCAGAGAAATAAGACACCAGCATCAGAAGGAAATTGTCAAGGCGAGATTGCAAGTGGTCCACGTGCCGCAGGAACCTGATGAACCATCCTAAAGGCTCAGGTGCTCAAGGATAGCGATTGTCAAATTTGCTTACATCATGTACAGTGTTCACATTATTACAGTATTAAGTGTTAAGTATGGTGTGATCAAAACTTGAAAGGTCATTGAAGGCAGGGACTGTGCTGCTTTTGCCTTTATAACTCTAGCACTTAGTACCTGTAGAAAAAGTTATTAGCTAATGAATTAATAAATGACTGGACAGAAGGATAAAGTGGAGAGATGGGAAAAGTCATTGAGTAGGCTCTTTTGTGTATTAGGTAGGGACATGTTCAGAGTAGGGAGATGAAAAACAGATACCAGGTTAGGAAATATTTATTTCAATCTTACATGTTAGGGATGCATGAGGGTTTTGAATATCATCATACCAGTGAAAGCATTACTTAAAAATTGATTTAGAGGAAATACACAGGGGTTGGCAAAAGTAGATTTACAGTTGTTCGTACAAAAAATACAATAATTAAGTAATAATGTAAGAATAAACTGTTTCACAGACTCATAACTGTAAACCTACTTTTGCCCACCCCTGTGTATGAAGGAGTAGAAAACAGGAAAGGACAAGGTGAGGGGCTGAATGAAGTTTGCTGGCATTGCTTTTGAAGGAAGGTTACTTACACCTGGCCTAGGGAAGCATTAGTGGGAATTGAAGGGAAGAATCACATGGCAAATATATTCACTATTAATTATTAAGACTGGGTGATGGAGTGGATATGACAAGACAAAAGAGAAAGCCAGGGAAACTGGCAGAATGACAGTAAAATTTAAAGTCGGGGCAAAGGAAGTACAAGAGATCATTAGCTTTGTTTGAGGCATGTTAGTGGATATCAAGGAAGTTACTATGGAAAATAAAATGTGTTATGTGAGCTCTCTGATCTCCACTGAGTCTTTCAACCCTCTCATACTCAGAGAGCCTACTAAAAAGGGGACACTGAGGAGGGGAGGTTTTAAATGGAGCAGGAAGTCAAAAGGATCGTGATCCCTAGCCGTTGTGTCAGCCTTGACTGGCCGTGTGCCTCACTGATGAGCCACAGGCCAAAACTAGTCAGAGAGGGCCACGTAAAAGAGTTAGGAAGACCCAGAAATGGAAAGTCGGTAGGGAACAAAATCAAATTTAATTGACTTTCCAACTTTCCTAGGCACTGCTGGTCAGGGATCTACCCCAGGCAAATTCAGAAAAACGAACAAAAAGTATATTAAATGAATCATTGTTCAGCCTCAGAACATTCTGGGTAAATATTCAGAGATGCCCAAGCATGAAGAAAAGGCAAAGAAGCAATCTATAACAATCCTTCTAAGTCTTTTTCTTTTCCTCTGTACTTTAATTTTCGAAATATAAATAAATGACTGCAAGAGATGGAAGAAAGCCTCCAAATCGACCACTTATTTGTTGTGTTATTGCTAATAGCGAAATAAGTCTTCACAGATAATGCTTAGTGCTACCGGTCTGGAAATACAGATACATGCCTCCATGGTGGAAAGGTTCTCTAAAATAAACCTTTGCATTAAATGATTTTGAAATTCATTGTTTATTGCATTATCAAGGTATATAACAAGTGGCTAAGTTAGGAAGTGAGTGATTTATAACCACCAACACCACCTCTTTTTATTTCATATTTGTTAGATACAGACCACTGCAGTCAGCCTTTAATTTCTTCAGCATTCTGCTGTTGAGCAGTGGCCTCACTAAAGAATACCCTTTGGCCCTATTTTCTCCATAAAATTGACTGAAATGGAATGAAAGTTGCATCTTGGCTCCACTGAACAGAAGAGAATTATAATCTACTTACGGTCCTGTTGATTGTGTTAAGCGTCTCCCTCAGTTCACGGCATTCATCTTTTTGAAAGCCGATCCACTCTCCTGCATGCTCCAAGTCTTGCTGGCATTATTTAGCTCATGTATCTTTTTATTTAATATAAGGTATTATTGTGTAATGTGAGTGCAGGGGTGCCTAATAGCTTTAGCTACTTTGCTCGCTGATCCGGTCTTTCCGAACTGTAAGATTCATGTAATATAGTTAAATGTCCCTGTAATGAAATCATATAGTGAGATTGTTCCTACCGGTCTTGCATCCATAAAATAATTATGATCATTCCTACCTCAGTGGAAGACATTTTGCCAAGAAGAAATTGGTTTTCATGTAACAAGGTCTCTTTGTAGTTTGTTCTAACCAAGATTAGAGATTAGTGCTTGGGGTAGCAAGTAGCAGTTAACTTCACTCCTTCTATAAAAAGATACATTTAAGTAATTACCATTACTAGCTTCTTGAGACAATTGTGTATAATTGAGTTATTTATGTTGTATGTACAGAGGTATTTGGTACTTGACAAAAATGTTTAACTCGTACCTGTGACTCTTGCAGATCCTACGGAGCAGGTAACGATACAAGTGCTGCCACCAAAAAGTGCCATCAAAGAAGGGGACAATATTACTCTGAAATGCTTGGGAAATGGAAACCCTCCTCCACAGGAGTTTCTGTTTTACTTACCAGTAAGTGCTTAAGGATGATTACTTGAGTTGGACTATCATTTTGTCCTGTTGTTAGGCAGCTGGCCAGCAACAAGGATTGAATGTACTTGGGCAGAGTGAGGGAGTAAGGATGTTTTCCTCGGGGACAAGGGACACCTGTAGAATGTCCTTAGAAAGCTTTTTCAGCATCTGCCAATGGTCTTGCCTCCCCCCTCCATCCCAATATTAAGAGATTTCAAGGAAAAAAGCTGATCACCGGAAATAATTACAAAACCTCAAACATTTCATTATCCAAGTAAACAGTGCACACCTGCTCTTTAGAAGCAGCTACCTGTACAATGAAGATGGCTGCCCATGCTCTGATACCGGTTCTGGATCCACCACAGCACCGTCCTGAACACAGCTTCAAACTCGGAGGAGGAAGGGAGCTGTTGTAGATTATATTTAGCTTCTCAGACCAAAGCTGGGGCTATATCTTGCCAGTGGACATGGTCTCGAAGCACCCGTTCTCAAGTTTTATCAGTACCATAGCTGAAAGGAATGATATGTAGAGAGGGTCATTGGGAAGATTCTTGTAGGATGTGTTCTATGTGTCATAGCGTTATGGAGAGACTAGGAGACAACCCATCTGAGGACACTTGTCTGCTCTCCCATAGCTTCTCCTGAGTTTCTCTTTGACATCACTTTCCACTGAGAGAAGCCGTGTACAACTCGAGACACATTGACTGCGAAGATGCGTCTCCAAATGGCATCTGCCACATTACTCAGTAGGGTTTACATCACATTACTCAGAAGACTAGTTTAGGTCACTTCTTTTAGACTTCAGAGTGGACAGGCAACGTTGTTTCTTCTAATACATTGACATACTGTTTTTGTCTAATGTGCACATGCAATTTGGAAACTAGTTATGTTTTCACCTTGGCTCTCAGGGATCATGGAGCCAGATGCTTGTCTTAGCTTTAGCAACAATAACTGGTACTCAATTTTTTTTGGTTAACATATATTCCTAGTTCATCTATATTTTTATCTTTTTGTTTGTTATGGATTATTTCCCCATTTGTTTATTTAGTTTTCTCTTTTACTTTCTCCCCTTTTTTTGCTTCCTACTTTCCTTTTGTTTTTCCTTCCTTTTTCCTACCTTTCATTTTCTCCATTTTATTTGGACATACGGCATGTTTTCTTTTAAATTGTTTTGTCTCTTTCTGTCAAATCAGGCAAGACATAAATATAAAAATAAAATATTGAAAAATTAAAAAAAAACATTCATCCAATGTACCAATAACATGGATATCATCAATACAGTGTAAGTTAGCTCCTCAATATCAATTAGTTTTCCAGGAATCAGATAATACAAACTGTATTCTCCTTTGAGAAAATGTCATTTTCATCAAGCACTACAACTGTTCTTATTGTGGCTACCAAGTGTAATAACAGAATGTTTTGCCTCTATCAAAAGGGACAGCCCGAAGGAATCAGAAGCTCAAATACGTACACCTTGACAGACGTGAGGCGCAACGCAACAGGAGACTACAGATGCTCCCTGACAGACAAAAAAGGCATGGTCGCCTCAACCGTCATCACAGTTCACTGTGAGTCACCTGTCCTTCCCATCATGTGGTTTCATTTGACCAAAAAGCAAGTTCCACCTTGGTCCAGTTTGCACTGCAATATTGAAATCTTGCATGGATCTAATAGCTGCAACTTTTGAAAGTGGTAAACCTCTGTCTTTTTTTTTTTTTTTTTATGCCTTCAATTTGAGGTATCAACAAAATATACACATGATGTCAAAGAAATAACTCACTTTATCTTTAATGAAAATATTTAGATATTCTTAAAGTTTATAAGATTGCATTTGGCACATAAAAGTGTAGCTCAGGTATCTTTTTGTTATTGTTCTTAATCCTCAGCCGAGAATATTTTTCCATTGATTTATAGAGTGATAGGGAGGGAGACAGAGAAATATCGATGTGAGAGAGACACATCCATTGGTTGCCTCCTACATGACACCTACTGGAGCTGAGGATCGAACTTGCAACCCAGGTACATGCCCTTCACCAGGAATCAAACCCAAGATCCTTTGGTCCACCAGCCCATGCTCCAACTGCTCAAACCACTCAGGGGGGCATGGATTTTTTAAAATTACAGAATAAATAATACTAACACCCAAAATCAAGCAACACAAAGTTAATGTAGACTCAACCTTTGGAAGAGGAGGTAGAGACTAGTAAAAGCCATTTATTGGCTTATTTAGAGAAAGATAGAACCTTTTTAGAAACAGAACCTCTTCAGAATCACTCTGAAATACCTTTGCTGTTAACGTTTCACCTGCTTTTGATCTCCAGTGTGACAGAAAAAGATACACACAAAAAACAGACACTTTGCTTGTGTTCTATATTTTATAATTCCTGACAGTTTGTATTACTGAGTGAGATACTTGATGCAGTGTGGAACTTGGGAATGAATCTGAACTACTCTCTGGTAACAGTTGACTTCACAGAGTGCTTTGGGCAAATGTCAGTCTTGCTTCGAGGTATAGACCAAACTTTCTAATACATCTTTTGTACCTAACAGCACCCCATATAAATAGGTTTTCAGTAGACATGATCCACTGCCATCATATTGAGGAGGAGGGGTTTCTTTGTTTTAAACTTGGAAGAGATTTTAGAAATTGTTCTGAGAAAATGCTTTTAAATCTTTTGCTCTACTAATAATGCTTGGAAAACATGTGGGATAAGAAGCTAAAACTTTGAGGGAGATACAAGGAAGTACATTAGGGAATAGAATAACCAGATGGTTGCTTCTGAGTCTCTGACGTTGTAAGGGCACCCTCAGGAGGCCTAGAAAAATGTGCACTGTGAAGAAATATCCACATGCAGTCGGTCCATTTCTCTGTTTGTTCCATATCCATGTTACACACATCTCAGCATGTCTGCCACTAGGGGCTGTTTAGACAAAAGCAGTGACCTCCCAGGATAACATCTGTGCTACTTTTCTCTGAGGACGAGTCAGTCATGGGACCATTGATCCAGCCTGTTCCATTAAAACTAAAGTAAGAGACTGTAACCAGCATATAGAATTGCCTATGGAATAAGTCTCTGATGTCATTGTTCATGAGATATTTGGGTCAATAACCAATAATCCAGTATGTTTATGTTTAAGAGATGTTAGTTACTTAGCTACTCAGGACCCTAAAAGGAGAAGGCTCTCTTTTGTATCACCGGTAGGTCAATCAGGGAGAAATAGATAACAGATTGATAAAGCAAAAGACCTGGCTGCAGCCACAAAGTACCGCCATGATCAGCTGAGATGAGAAAAAAAAAATTTAAGCAGAGCATGTAACAGTTTAATTGGAGTTCAGTGCATTTTTCTGGATTTAAATGCTTTTTTGTTTTGACAGGTAGACTGTTAACGTTAGGTTTTAAGTCCTATGTAGCTCCTGAAAAGCTGAAAAAAGTATTGCAAGTAAGTCAAGATTTTACTCTAAGTTAGATGAAATGGAAACATAGAAATCTTATTTTTGCCCATTTATCCTTGATTGCTTGTTTGTTTTCCAAACGAGATTTGTTTTCTCTCCATTGATGACTGAGGGAGTGTGGGTGGAGGAGCACCAGCCCACACTTGCACGTGTTTGCGGAACAGATTTCTCATCAGGGCTTTAGCCTGCAGACCATAGATGCTGCTGAAATGTCTGCTCTCCCTCTGCCGACCCATGCACGTGCTAATTCTTCATCAGGACTTCCAGAGCCCATCATCATTCTTTAAAATCTCTTCTCCCTGGCAAGATAGCTAACCAGCAGAGGAAAACCTCTAACACACCCTAAATAGAATTTTCATTTAAATATAATTCATCAAAATATGATCAGGAGACTCCACTTCTCTACATGACCATACATACTTTAATGTTAATGGGAAACTGAGAAAGCATAATTCATCCAGTCAACAGTTATTTTTGAGAGCCTACCCTGTGGCACACACTGGCATCACAGTACAACTGAAGTTATTGTCCCTCCCCTCATGGTGCCTACAGCCTCACAGGAGAAACAAATACTTAAACCTGATGTTCAAACAGTTAACAAACTGCAATTATAACATGTAAAACCAAGGAGAAGCACGGGGTACCATAGCAAATTCCCACTGCTCTAGAACAGTCCTTTACAGCCTGGCCTCAGTTAGTGTATCTGCCCCGTGTGATAACCATTCATATCAGATTACTCGCCATTGAGAAGTCTGTGAAGCTCTCTCACCTCCTTGGCTTTACTTATCTGACAGAAGTTCTTCCTACATCTCCACTCATCAAAACCCTCTCAACCACTGAGGCCACAGACATACTGCCTCTTACACAAAACCTTTATTACTTCTGTGAAACCCAGTTTGGCTCCGGTCTCTATACTCCCATAAGGCTTTGCTTGGACCTCTGTTGGTAGCCCTTTAGTTTTTCAACAAATATTTACTGAGCTCCTCATTTATAGCACAGTTGCCACCAGGGGCTGATTTCCTGCTGCTGTATATTCCATTTGCATCACTGAGTACAGTTGCTTCGACCTCAAAAAGTGGATATCGTGGGCTAATTACTCATCTCTGTATCTCCCATCAGTGCTTGGGACATAGTAGCTGCACAATAAATGTTTGTTATATTGAGTTCGATTTTCCTCATACAGATTTCACTATGATAGAAAGATTTTCATAGCAATTACTTTCCATCTAAAAGATTATACCTCCTTAGATGTGTCTATACTCTATTTTAAAAGATGACATCTGCTAACAGTGTGCCTTACAGTAGATCTCATTTAAAATTTCAACTGCATGAGAAATGTAATAAAATTTTTAAAAACTGTTGAAGTACCACAGGCAATTCTTTCTGAGAAAAACTACGTAGACTACCGCATGGCTTTTCAGTGTATCACCTGCTGGCTAAATATACTTGATTTTCCCATGGTTGCTCTACTTATTCTTTTTATAATATTTATCAAGTCATCATCATTCTTTATTTTCTTCCAGAAGTGATTTAAGAATTTTTTTTTCTTAAGGTGATAGAGCCCTGAGGAATTCATGTGTACAGTGAAAACATCAATCATGCTAACTGCAAATAAATGTACAATCAATTAGGTTGACCATTCACTTTTCTAAACTGGTCTCAAAGCTCTCTTGAGATATGACCGATTATGCTACAGTTCAGTTATTTCAGTCACATAAATCAGTCCTAAATTTTCAAGTGCATTTAGAGGGATTTTTTTTTTTTTTTATCCTTTCTTCTTCAAACTATTTTAACTATCTTATTTCCTGGAGTTTGCATTTTAAGCAGATGTTCTGCTTCACAGATTTGGATTTGTCCTTGAATCCCAGTGGGGAAGTGACCAAGCAGATCGGCGACACCCTGCCTGTGTCCTGCACAATATCTGCCAGTAGGAACGCGACTGTAGTATGGATGAAAGTGAGTAATATCCCTTGGCAAGATGCTGCTGTTGTAATTGATGCTTTCTTAGGCCTCTTCTGCATTCTATGTGATATCCAAATATATTCATGGGCAGTGTGTTTATACACCCATGCACATACTCTTTCTCTTTATATAATAATACAGATCATGTCACAAAAAAATTTTAGAGGTACTCAACAACAGTATGGCATCTATAATTGATGCTCTGAAACTTAGTTTGGGGGTATTCATTCAATTATGTGTGTATACTAAGCAATTATACACTTATACACATGCTCAGAGACACACACATATACATCTGTATTCTTTAGGGCGTAATGATTTATGATGTGTTGTAACCCATATAACTCTCACATGACAGTTACAACAACCCAGTGCAATATGCAGGACATTTATTATTTCCTCACATTATTCATCAAGAAGTTGAGATGAGAGAAATCAGAAAGCTCCTGAGACAGAGAAGAGACTCGAGCTCAGGCCTTACTGAGAGTAAATGCTGTGCTGAAATGAATCTGGGTCTAAAGGTGGGTTGCCCTGAATTGGTAGCTCCTTGGGGGTTCATATCTCTTTTCACCTTTGAGCATTAGAACACCTGAAACTTGCTAGGAGCTTAGTCAGTGCTTTCTGAGTGAGTTCGGATATTTTCTTGTGATTGTCGGAAATGTAGGCCGTTACCTGGGCCCAATTATTGCTATATTTTTAGAGTGAGAAAGTAGGATTGGTCATTTGTGATTTGAGACGGGGTTCCCACCAAAGGTAATGGCCGTAACTGTGATCCCTCCACTCAAATTCTTGGCTAGTGTATCTAAACAGTGCATTTAGCCCCAAAACACGGCATATAACAGGAGCATTTAACCAGTGATGTGTTGACAAAACACATACAAACCATTTGAAATAGGGCTCGGCAAGTATTATCTGTATAAACAATTGTGGAGAAGTGCTTGAGTTTCTTCTTGATGAAAATATAAAGTATTTATATTGTTCTTTAATCTCTTTTAATGCCAGGTCCTCTGTTAGCTGTTCTTTGACTCTTATTTTCTTACCACACTTTGTTTTAACCACAGACTTATCTCAGCTTCTTGTTTGCTTCAATACTAACTGTTGTTACTCCATAAGCTGCATATTTAATTTATTTATAGTCGTTGATAATCAAAGGGCTACACAAGTTCTACGCTACTAGACTACTCAATAGCATCATGAACACTCATAGTATGTTTTACAAGGACTAGAGAAACTAGTTTACTTGGCTAAACTAGTTTCTATATCAACTGCAGTCACTGTTATTCATTGAATACCTAATCTCAGTGGTGCTGATCAATATTGTCTGGCCATTGATTAGGTGATGGGAGAGGGAAAAAATTCATAGTGGACAAAGACAGTATGATCTTAGGATTCTGTTTCACGGTCTGTTTATGAGCATTTCAATTCCTGATAAAATAGTAGGGTTTTCTGTATATCATGTGATCTTTAAAAAGGACATGGAAGGACCTGGAGACTATTACACTAAGAAATAAGCCAGTCAGAGAAAGACAAATATCACATGATCTTACTTATTTGTGGAAAATAATGAACAAAATAAGCTGATGAACAAAATAGACCCAGAGACATGGAGGTAGGGTTCAGACTGACAATTCTCAGAGGAAGGAGGAAGAAGGGACAGGAGGAGATAAATCAAAGAACTTATATGCATATATTCACAACAAATGGACATAGACAACAATACTGTGAAGAGGGGGGGATGGGAGTGGGGAGGAGGGTGTCAATAGAGGAAAAAGAAACATTTATAACAGAAATTAATTAATTAATTTAAAAAATGGAATGTTGTATTTCCTTTGTTCGTTGAAATTAGGATAGTAAGCTGTTATTAAGGGTTTCTCAAAAAAGTATTTTTGTCATAGTTGCCATGGCTCTGTAGTGAAACCCCTGTTTTGATAACTAGATCCTATAAAATGACTTTCATGTGTCTATACCCATCATGATTACATAGCACTGGTCTTCAGTGTTTCTCATTCTTAGTCTCTAGATTCACTCTAAGGAGTAGTTACTAGGAATGGAGAACTTTTCTTACTGTCAAAACATTATATTTATGTAAAGTCCTCATAACAATTCAAGATGATTATTACCCCTTGTACAAATAAGGAAACTGAGCCTCAGATGTTTATCACCTTGCTCCAAATTATAAATTTAATAAACAGCAGAATCCAAAATAATGTCCAATCCTAGAACTGCAAAGGAAAAGGGAAATCTATTTTCTAAGGCATCTGAAGTTAACAAAAACAAGCTTGCATTTTCATTAGCCCCAGAAGGATCATTTTAGATGTAATTATTATCTAATAAATATATCGAGAGTTATTATTGTGCCCTGTGAAGTAATTAACTTTTTATTTAATCAGGATAACACCAGGCTTAAATCTAGCCCATCATTTTCTAGTCTCCAGTATCAGGATGCGGGCAACTACGTCTGCGAAACGGCTCTGCAGGAGGTGGAGGGGCTGAAGAAAAGAGAGTCATTGACTCTCATCGTAGAAGGTAAGGAGACACTTGACCACCCCTTCAAATTCTTCTTTGAGAATGTGCTCTCTGGTGACTCTTATGACCTTAGTTTATCATCTTATTTTAATTTTAATAATACCTCAGGTAAACCTCAAATCAAAATGACAAAGAAAACTGATCCCAGTGGACTGTCTAAAACAATCATCTGCCACGTGGAAGGATTCCCCAAGCCTGCTATTCAGTGGACAATTACCGGTAGCGGAAGTGTCATAAACCAAGCAAGTATCTGTCTTCTTGTTGCACTTGGTCCAGCGGGGGCTTTACTGAGACCGAAACTAGGGGCTCGCTCGTGACCCATGTGGATGATGCGGTGTGTTCTCAGAGGAAGCTTTTGCTAAATTCTTAATTTTCCCAAAGGTGGAATATGGCTCAGAAATTTTAAATCCTAGGGCCACAGAGAATGAAAGAGTCATGATGTTGTGGCTCGTGTCTATTTTCTAAAAGACAGAAATTGAGTGTTGCTCCATTGTCATTGACTCCTGAAACTGGGTGATTAAAACATTAAGGTATGCACTTTTCTGCATCATAAACTTACACATCTGAGTATAAGTGGACTCCATTACTTTGCTTACTTGTATACTTTAAGGGATATTCTTTCTAAGACTGGACTCTGGAATGTGGTGAAGAATACATTCAGTGTTTCCCAAAACGTGATCTGGTTTGTTATGTCAGGGCGACGGCCAGCATAAGGTTGGTTAAATATATAGAGTCTAGGATGCTTCCTTCTCAACAAAAGTGAACCGAAATATTAACCAAACCTTAATATTTGTATCTTTGTCAGGACATTTTAGTAAAAGTAAAGGGCTAAGAACTTATGAACACAACCAGTAATTTTCTTTTTACCTTGACAAAAGAGAAAAAAAAGAAACAAGAATGAGAATCTGGCTTGTCACTAGGGGTTTAGGGCTATAATCCCGTTAAGTTGCCACTGCTTGAGTTACTGAGAAACTTGTTAATTCCATTTTCTCTACGACAGTCTTCATGTCTCTCTTCTCGGTGGAGCCAGTTAAAGACTCTTCCGCAACACCCAGAGGGGCCATTTGATTACCTGAGTCTTCCTGGCTGCCTTCTTCCCAGCTCGGGACCCAGCTGCAGTCTGAGAAGGCATGCGTAATGCAGAGTTGCAATTGGGTTTTGAGTTAAAAGTTCTGCTCTTTCTCTGTCCAGGGAAGTTGGGTTGCTGGTGCAGGTTTGCAATGTGGTTTTGCAGAGCCAGGTGAATTTTGGCTCTTTTACCTATGAGTGATGCAGATATATTTGCATAGCTGCAAGTATGGGAGGTCCCCAAAGCAAATGACTCCTGATTTGGTTCGGTGTGATGGGGACACACAGAAAGCATGCACAAGAGGACAATGCAGTTGTCCTGACTCAGGGGAAAGACCTGAACCATCTGAATTGTTGACAATGTACAGGTTAATGTTTTAGCATCAAAAATGACTATTTCTGTTCTGCTTTTTATTCTCTCTTGTTCAGTTAAGTAATAATTTAACCCAAAAGAACCTATAGGTACAGATAATGTAAGCATAGAAAATAGAAAAAAAAAAAGCATGCAATAAATATTGATGAATGAAAAAGACCAAGATTTAAAAGGCCATCCTAGAAATGAGTAAATGTATTTTGCAGAGATACAAATAACAAAAAGAAAGACTCAGTGAGAAAGTCACATGAAAAATACTGGTGGGAAGTGGTAAAATAGCAGGTGAACTTACTATGAGGATAAAAATAATAATGCCATTCTTCATTGTCAAGGAGAAGAATTGATTCTGGCCCACTTGGTGATATGTTATTTTTCTTGTTCTGGGTTTGTGCTGATACATATAATCTTTCATTTGTTCCCTCCACAATCACTTGGTGAATCTATTATTTTACAACTCCTGAAATCCCTGCCCCACCCTGCCCCAGGGACTAGACAATATCCCTAAGCATGAAACTAGCTCTTGTTCTCAAGGTCTTTGCATTGCAGTCGAAGAGAAAGTTAGGAGGGACCAATACATGGCGTGTATAAATATGGTTGGGAAAAGAATGCAAGTACATATTTGCTTTAGTCGTGTTGGACTGAGGAGTCTAGTCCTAGGGAAGAGATTGAGGTGAATTGTCTCATGTTTGGAGGAATTAAATGTAGTGATTGTCCTCATTAACACTTCACAATAACCAAATGAATTTACCAATAACTTTAAAAGAGCCCATCATCTGTATTTAGCTCAGGAAATTTGAGAAAAAATAGTAGATTTCCCATGAGTAAACTCCTATATAAATAAGAACTTAGATACAATGGTCTGAGAGAAAGGACTTAACCTCTGTAGTGAAGAACAATGTCATAATTTACAAGCAAGCACTAAATTCATTAGTTTATGAAGGGGCAAATGATGATTAATCATTAATTAATATTTCGAGACAAGTACTATCATGCCAAAATATTAACTAACCTGAGCGTCTATTGAAAAAGATGAGTGTAATGAATTTAATTATTGGAATTTACAATAAAAGCATAAACCGGGGTCCAATTATGGATTTACTACATTTTTTCCCTCTCTGCTGTAGATGTGAACTTGAAGTGGTCTATGTCTATGACCTTCCATATACCCTTGAACACCAGAGGGCACTACAGAGCACCAGCCTATCCTGTTTCACTCAGTATTACTCTCTCCCTAGTATTTCATCTAGTTCCATTTCTAAATCCGTATTCCTTTTTTTCTTTTCCAGACAGAGGAATCTCCTTATATCAATGGCAGGTATTATAGTAAAATTATCATTTCCCCTGAAGAGAATGTTACATTAACTTGCACAGCAGAAAACCAGCTGGAGAGAACAGTAAACTCCTTGAATGTCTCTGCTAGTGAGTATTTCATTTCTGACATTAAATAAGTAAGAACATTTGAAGTTATTCTCCATTAGTTTAAAATCTTCAATTCCATCTTCCTATACTGCATTATGGTAAGTTTTATTTATTTTGCATTTGGTATCATCATCATAGGTTCTTTTTTTATTTCTGGTGTCCATTCTTGTACGATTCTTGTCTTGACAGCTCAATCATTTCATGTTTTATGGGTCAAAGACCTTAACTTACACAGGAATATTTCTCAAGAGCAACGGATGACATGAACTGAGTTGCTATTATTTAATCTATGTTTTGTGTTCAGAGTACAGATAATTCAGATTTTCCTTAAAATATTTCTGTAACAGTTTTAATTTTGTTAAAATTTTAATTATCTTTAGTCTATTATTTTGCATTCTAATTCTTTGTGGTTTACATCCCACCGTTATTTTGTACAGAAATGCCACAGGCTTAAAATCATTCAGCAAATTGGTAGTAAAACTCGTATTAGAACTAATGAAATGTAGCTTTAAAAATTAATGCTTTTGAATATCACATTTGAGTCATAGCTAAAAATCATATGACGTCATCTCAGAAAAAGTAGAAAATGTCTGTCCAAAGTGAAATAAGGGTAATACATACATACCAAAAGCGGCTTCTTCTGAAAACTATTGTCATTTATTTGAAATTATCCATCATCTTTCGTTCTGTCATTGTTCCTATTACGATGTCACCCTGAGATCATGACTGGCCTAGAATGAGGCTCAGCTCTGGATGGTCCACACTTGCATCCTTCAGGCAGTTGGAATCCTCTGTGACATTAGCAGGACAGGAATATACTGGCTAGGAATTAGCCGGAGCTAGGAGAAAATAATTGTGTAGAGAGAATAGTTCTTAACGGATTATGACTGGCATACAAAAGCCTGCTGAACTGACAAGAAAAGAACCAAACAAATTTAACTCTGAAATAGGAGCATTGACTTCTCAGAATTTAATTTAGCGAGTATTGATTTGTCCTACCTAGAAAGAGAACTTATCCTCTCCTCCTGAACCCAAGTCTCTTTTTTATTTTCACCCACTGAAATAGTGGTTTCCTAGACTTTGCAGGGCCTTGATCAACATTTAATACGGTCGTTTTTCAATTCAGTGAACACCGCCTGAGATCCCAATGTTTATGAGGAAGGGTCTGGGAACCTGCAGTTTAACAACATCACTGGAAGTTCTGACTTCGGCCCACACATAGGAGAAAGTTCATGTAGTTTGATATTAGATGGTAATCCACCACAGCAGGGGCTCTTCCAAGGAGCCAGGAGCATGGCACTATCAAAGTTCTTTGAAGGCTTTTACCAACATTACATATGTTGCCTCTTAACCTCCAAGACGTCCTCAATTTTAACCTCCAGCCCCACCACTTTGAGGAGATCTCTAGTGGTAATTCCCTGACACTAACAAGGAAAATAAATTCTCCTCTATTAAGGCAGGAAATTTTGAGAAACACTACATTGTAGATTTTATATGTGGCAACTTGTTTCTCTTTTTAAAAAAGTCCTATTAAAAGGTGGTAGATCTTGGGGAAATTACTATGGGTTTTAGATTAATACTATAGCTTGTCAGTTGTAAAAATTTTTATGGTAGATTAATACCTTTGCAGTTTTAACTACCCTCCTTTTCTTAAAAGAAGATTAATTTCTTTCTAGGGAAGTTCATGCTCTATTAAATGTAATTTTTTTTCCCTATCCTTAGCTGTAGAAGAGATATTTTATCTTTGAGTATTATTACATCATACTATAATAGTAAAGGTGACTTTCATTTATCAACAAATTTTATTTTTAATTTCATATTAACATTTTTCATTTCAGTAAGCATTCCAGAACACGATGAGGCAGACGAGATAAGTGGTAGGTACTACACTGCCGACTCTTCTTCCTTGACTATCAGCTCAAGATTTATGAAGTGTCATTGTTGAAGTAATTTCCTTAGACTCCACAATTTTGACTTGAATTAAAATAGCAAATGAGACAAGATAGTGAGGATGCTAAAACCGTGTCCTTTAAATCCACCAGTTTGCATGTTACTAATAGTAGTAAGCCGCCATCATTTTTAATAAGAAATAATAACCAGATGGACTTCTTTTCAACAATCTTTGGCGTCGTCTATAATCGCACGGGCTTCTCTTCTTTGTTGTAGATGAAAACAGAGAAAAGGTGAATGACCAGGCAAAGCTCATTGTGGGCATCGTGGTCGGTCTCCTGCTTGCTGCCCTCGTGGCTGGTGTTGTCTACTGGCTGTACATGAAGAAATCAAAGTGAGTTGTGGGGAAAGGTCTTCGTTGTTCACTGACACCCACTGGGACAAAATGCAGCATGTCGATTATGCTCACTCCTGCTGGGCACGTGATTTCTGTGACAGAAAAGAGGTATCGCCCACGTCAGGCTGATCCTGTTCTGCTTTCAGCTCAGAGTGACGACATTACCAACATCGGGCACATGGCTTAGAATATGATTTCACATGTGTCTCGTTATTTTTCTCGGTCAGTCATCTGAATTCAACTATTTGATTTTTTCAATGCCTGGGTGGATTTTTAAAAAGTAAACATTGCCTCAAAGTCAACCATTCTAAACCATTCAATGGAGGTTGGGAGAGAGTAATTTCAAGTGGCTAGTGCTTCCTGCAGGGATAGGTCCAGCCAGCAGGGGACTGCCAGAGAGCTAGCAGTACCTTGTCGTCACCACTCCTGATTCTATCCAGGTCACTTTCCTCCACAGACGGGTCTAATTTAGAGAAAATTTCATCATTATTTTGTTTTTAATTTTTACAAAATTGATTAAAGTACCAAGACTACTTTAAAAGTGATTTAGATAATGTTTAGATTTAAAATATTAGAACCATAAAATAATACAGATAGTATCAACCTTACAAATCATCTAACAGTGGTTTATAATAAAAATACAGTTAACTAATGAGGATTCTTAATGTGCACACGTGCCTAGAACTTATTCCTCATCGCCCGAGCCCTGACCCCGCGTGCTGATGTGATTGGGTTCTGCATTTGCATTCTTAAAAAGTTTTATTGGTGGTTCTGTGGTATAGCACCCTCTTCAAACATGGGTTTTAAATCCTCTTATCTTATAAATGAAGACATTGACTTTTTCAAGGGGACGCATGTAGCTAGTGGCAACTTTGGACTTGATTTTATATTTTCTTGTCGTCTAATATAAACCCTTTTAACAACTCAGGTAAGTTCGTGGAAAAGAAAATCAAAAGAAAAAATAGACTCAGGATTCATGATCTTACCCTGTGAAGATATTAACAATTTCAGTGGAGAAATATTCTAATGGAGCTGCCATGAAATTGAGACAATAGCTCAGAAATTTTAAAATCACATACTACGAGCATGCGTTGAGCTCTGTTTTGTTCTCATAACCCATCTTTGAAGTAAATACTATTATTCTTCTTATTTCACATCTAAAAAAACTAAGGCAGAGGATGGTTAAATGTCTTGCACAGTCAGCAAGGGACAGATTCGTGTTTGCTTTAAGGCAGTGATGATTTAGAATCTTTGTGTTTGATCACTAGCCCTCACTTTCTTTCTCTGTGCCCTACTTTTTCTCTTTTTGGGTCACCTAAGGCAGAAACATTTCCTGTTGGGTGTTGAGGTTGATGTGCATGGTCACGCTCACATCGGGGTACGGTCAATTCTGATCTTGGCACTTCACTCCTGAGTCTTGGGCAGTCCCCACCATGAGAGGGTAACACACGTGTTCTTTTTCCTCAATGAACATTTTGCTACAACAAGTTCATGTGGATTTGTGTCTGGTTTCTATGAAAAATTTAGGAATGTTCCTGCCTGTCCCATGCAAGTGAAAGGAAATGCAAAGAGTTGTTCAGAGGGAATATCTATCTTACAGAAATTCTCTGTCTGCACCACAATAAGGTACTCACAAATCTAACAGCTTAGGCTCTAGGGTATTTCTATTTTATTTACTTAGGATTTCTAACACACTCCAAAGTAATTTCATTTCCTAAAAGAATAGAAAGAATTTTTTTTTCTGTATTCTGAAATTGAGCTGAAAAAACAAACAGCAGTCCTCTACATTAAGATCAAATGGTTGTCTTGGCCAGTTGTTCAGTGGTTAGAGCACCGGCCAGTGGACCAAAGAGTCGCAGGTTCAATTCAGGTCAAGGTCATGTACCTTGGTTGCGGTTTGGTCCCCGGCCCTGGTCAGGGTCATGTGGGAGGCAACCAGTCGATGTTTCTCTCTTTCTATCTCTCTCTCCATCCCTCCTGCCCACTCTATCTGAAGATAAGTAGAAAAATATCCTCAGGTGAGAATTAAAAAAAAAAAAAAAAAAAGATCAAATGATTGTCAAATTCTTAGAGTATCCTCAAGTTCCTTAATCACTGTATTCTAATTCCCAGTATTTCATCAGACATCATTTGTCTTTCTACGAATAGAAGAAATGTATGTATGTGTGGTGGGGGAGGGGTACTTCATTGGTTACTACTATATGATAACCCAAAATTAAAATCATGGATAAATAAATGCTGGACCCTTGACTTTATAGTATCTATAGGTAAAATAGTTAAGACTTTCTGAAATTCCTGTAAAATATCTCATTAAATTAAGTGCAATTTTTACCATCTGACTTGAATATTTATTAAAATGACTGTTCCTTAATTGAAAAGTGTACCAACATTTCTAGAGTTAATATGATTGGTAATCAATGTAATAAGTTGCAATTCTCATCCCAAACATCAAAGTGTTTTTCTTATGAATTTGTGGCACTCTTTAGGTTTGCGAAGTGCATTGCATTCCTGATCTTTCTTAGCAAGTTATTCCTTGCTGATGCCCTATGAGATAAGCCAGCATTTGGCAATGTGAGTTATTTTTAAACCATTTGTCTAGTGTTCATATTTATAATAAGAACCTTCAAGTTCAGAATTGCTAAAGTTGTTTTTGGCTTTACTATATTCTCTTTCTTTCCTGTCTCCTAGATTATCCCTTCCATGTTACAAATTAATGTAAGGGTTTTATTTCTACCTGTAGCAATTTCATCACCATTTTACATGCACGTAAAAGATTTTAATAAAGATATGGTCCAGACTTTCTCCCAGATACCTAAAGACATATAGCCTTGTGTTTGCCATCCTACAAAACACTACCATCAATAAATTTAGTAAATTACCCATTGTTGCAAACAACTTGGAGCAACAATTAAATTATGAGTCAAAATTTCTATTTAAAAGCCTCAGTGATACAGCTAGCCAAGTGGTGAAGTCTGTGGAACATCTAGGGGGAGCAGGCAATTTAAAAACTTATTTGAGCCCAACCGATGTGGCTCAGTGGTTGAGCATCAACCCATGCACCAAGAGGTTGCTGGTTCGATTCCCAGGCAGGGCACATGCCCAGGTTGTGGTCCAGGTCCCCAATGGGGGGCATGCAGAAGGCGGCCAGTCGATGTTCTCTCTCATAGGTGTTTCCATCTCTCTCTCCCTCTCCCTTCCTCTCTCTAAAATTAATAAAGAATAAATACATAAATAAAAATAAAAACTCATTCAAGATAGATTAGAAAAACAGATCTTTTATGCCCAATTTGAATTTGAGAATATGTTTGTTAACCTATTGACCACCCAGCTAACACGCTCTCCCAGTCCATTATTATGGGCTATATATTTTTATATCTATTTTAAATATGGAGACCTGCAATAAGAAGTGTGTAGTAATGGCATTAGCATTTTGAAGTGATATATTTATAGCAGAGTAAGGACTCATAATTTCTGCTGCTTTGATTCACATAAGTTCTCAGCGGAAGATTTCTTTAAATTGGAGATTTTCTGATAATGAGAATGGATGACCCTGATATATCCCATCTAGGTAGGGACTTAACTAACGGTTCCAGGCAAAAGGCTTTAACTGACTCAGCCCACTCCATGTCCAGTTGCTTAACAGGTTGGAGAACATTAAAGAACTAAAGATAATTTAATAATTTTTTTATTGTTTACTCTTTCTTTTCATCCTGTCTTCTGAACATGGTTTTTAGCTCTGCAGGAAGTTAAATGTGACTATTTGACTTCCAAATCCTCTCCTGCATAGCTTTTAGTACAAGAACTAATGAAAAATTAAAAGAGCCAAAGATAAAGGAAAAAGGCAGCTTGAGGTAGCCACAGACTTGTTCAGAGGTTTATTAAAACCATAATTTCCAGGTTTGTTGCATTTAAGAGACCCGAGACCACAATACTTCTTATCACTAAACTGGGAATAAGCATTTACTAGGCATTTGTAATCTCAAAATACACATTGTCTGAATATTGGAAACTTACCAGGAAATTTATCTCTTGCAACTGTGGAACTCACAACTAGTTTCATGAAAATTAGTGCGTAATATAGAGGTAATCTGGAAATCTAAAAATTACACATATCCTCTGTTAGTTCTGCCTTTATTTAATGCTATATTATTCTACGACTGTCTCAGGAAGAAAAATAAAAAGACAGTTCTAAATTGATGAAAGATTAATGAGGGCTTGCATATAACACAAATATCAAGAAAGAGTGTTATATTAAGCCTCTCTTAAACCTTTCTCATTAGTATTTCTTGATGTATGGAATAGGATCTCAAAAGAAAGTTGATTTTAACTGAATTCTATTTCCAATCAATACTTTCTCTGATAAAGGAATATCGACTCCGACTGAATCAATTGAAAAGATAGTGCTAGGGGACCATTTACAGCACATTTTTAATCTTTCCTCATTTATCGCTACAGAAGCACCCACTACTCTTTTTTTTTTTTCTTTTTTCTTGTTTTTGTTCTTTTACTGAAATCCTCAACCACTTAATGAGGGGAATACAATTAATCCTATTCATAGTATCAAAAGCTCAGTGCGATTAAACTGCCCAAGTGTATTCCATGTCCTGTATATTTTCAGATATATTTTGGTGGCTCCAGGACTTCTTTGGAATTAAAATTGTACCTCTGACTTTGATGTCCTGCTGGCATTTAGTATAGTGAGTAAGGTGGAAGAGTGTGTTCTGAAGTTCGGGCTGACGTCTTCTTGACCACTGGGTTAGAAGTTGGGCTTATCCAAACTTCGGCTTCTTTTTTTTTCCCCTATCCATAGTCTGGCAAGCAGCCAAAAGAAAGAAGATAAAATCCTTCATTATTCTATCAAACTATAAATAATAGAGTAAACTAGAGGGGAAATAAGATCAATGCAGCCTTGACCGGTTTGGCTCAGCAGTTAAGAGTGTTGGCCGGTGGACCAGAGAGTCCTGGGTTCGGTTCCCGCTAAGGGCACGTACCTCGGT